CAGGTCAAGGAAATTTTTTAGTGAAAATGGTTTTTCGATTGAAAAACCAAGATCTTTAAAAAACGGGTCTTTAAATCGAAAGCGGGCAAAAACCATTGTGATATTCGGAATCAGCACGTTCGATTATCTATTGTCAACTGAGTTTAAGCTCAAAAGCGACGAGGCAGTTGGTGGCCTTCCCTCGTTAGATAGTTGACAGTAAAAATATGAGCTTGAAATATTGAGTTTATGAATCAAAAAGTAGGTGTCTATGCGTCCCAGATGTCTTCTGTAATTCTAATGATACAGACTTCGAGGTGATGGCAAAAATGGTTTCGACTGGCCAAAAGAAAATATATGACTGACCAACGGACCGGACCGGTCAGAATTTTGTAGACTGGTTATCGAGCCGGTCGAAAAAATCTTGACCGGATACATCTGTGCTGTGAGACGTCTCATTGTGAAGAGAAGGCGTTCTTCTATCAGACTATGTGTAAGAAAAAATTTTGAATGTACAGAAAAAGAGAGAAAAGTTTATAAAACTAAAAAATTGAGTATTTCAGGCTACGACAAGTTTTTAGGCTCAACATCGTCAAATCATGTGATAACGTCGGACAACTTATTCATACCTGTATGACTAGTATCACTCGTTCAATGTCAAAATAAAATTGATATATATTTAGAAATAAATCAACTTTATAAAACAACTAATTTTAATAACCAAAATTGGTTTCCCAGGATTAAAAATATCCTTGTTTTGATTTTGTAGGATACGTTTTTCTAGAGAGTAGCGAATATGTATGAGAAACTAAATTGATTATGTGAAAGAGCTGAAGTGGATGATTAATAAAAGGATGAATGATCATTTCGAAGTTTATTAGCTGCAGGAAAGATAGCGGGCTACTCGAAACTGATAAGTGTAATCCTATACTGGCAACGGGAGCTGCAAGACGAGCTGTTCTTTCTTTTTCCTTTTCTTGAAATAAGTAGTGCATCAACTCGTTTTATCCATCAAAAATCTGTTTATCGACAATTTTATGGAAAGACATTGAATGCTTTTTTTCTGAGGTTGTACTTCAATGTATCGTTCCCCTTTTTCTATAGGTGTATAGAAACTATCGATCGATTTTGACTTTTTATAATCAACATCTGTGTAAAAGAAAACATGTTTAGATTTACAGCAAAACAAACGGAATGAAAGTCAAAAATAAAAATAAAAGAACAAATTTTATATATAATTTATCTAAAAACTTGTTGAACGAATGAAATAACCTATGAATGACATTAAACAGTCGACCGTAAAGAATCAATTGATTGAATTATTGTATTATCCTAAAAAGAAAAAAAGCATTGATTATTTGAATAGATTTTCGTTTGTCTATAGGTAAATAGAAATTAAACTCGCCCATTTCTGTATATAATTAACAAAGTTATTAAATATACATATGATTTATGGTTATTGGATCAATATTTGTTACGCAGTTATCTATTAACTTACATTGAGACAAGCATTCATGAATTCTTGTATTGTAATAAATCCTTGGCCAACATCAAATTTCTGTATAGAAAAACATAAATATTTGAAAACTGTTTAAAAGTGAAAAACAATCTATTATTATACCTTGAAAACATTTGCTGTATGTTCACGTGTTGTTTCATCACCATATCGAGGATTCGAGCAGGTACCAAGTAAACTGTAAACAGCACAAACTATTTGATGTAAATCCTAAAAACGGATTATTAACAAGTGAATAGTCATATTTTCTTTGTTTATGAGTCCAGCATTTCGGAATATTAACGGATAGTGCATAAAAAATGACCCTCTCAGTATTTATGCAATACCTCTTTGAATTCTCGTCGTCCAAGACGGAATTGTTCTTCAAAAGATTTTTCTTTTAAGTCACAACAAAACCATAGACAAATATGTGTTATAGGGCGAAAAGTAAAAAAGTTATTACAGAAATACTGAAAACGTACAACATCATCGACTTTCAGGCACAACCTCCAAATTGATTTTCGATTTATTACTAATGGTAAAACACTTGTTTAAAAGCTTCAAAGTATGATTTCTTGTAAACGAAGGGGGAGGGAGGGGTATTGCATAAATATTGAGAGAATCATTCTTTATACGTCACTCTTTATCTTTACTTCTCGAGTAATTCGTCCACTTTTCTTCGTATCGTATAATGTAAACACCCATCTTAAACGATCTTCGATTGAGCCACGACATAATGTTGATAAACAAATTAAAAAGTCCTATAATGAAAGAAATTTCATATGTCACCGTCTATTTAATATAATTAAAATATCTCTCTCATTACCTCAAATGTAACTATACCAGAACTTCTCAAATCAAATGTTGCAAAAATAAGATGTGCATAATTTGAACTATCTATAAAACAAAAACTGTAAACATGATTTCTGTTATTTAAACATATTTTACCAATGATATTTACCAGCATGAGGAAAAAATTGTGCATAAATATGTTTAAATGTTTCTTCGTTCACTATTCCTGTGGGACACTCCTATCAAACAACAGTAATAAATATTTCAAAGTTTAACTGACATTAAATAAAACATTTCACCTGTTTGAATCCTTGATAAATTAATTGAATTTCTTTTTTTGTAAATTTTGTTCGTTTTTCCAATTCATCCAAACTACGAGGTTTGTAACGTTTCAATGTTTCTAATGGATCATCATCAAAATCCGTATCTATGAAAAATGAATGAAATACAATATCGAAATAGCTGGAGTTAGTAACGCCAATACTACCTACTCTCAAAAAGAATTCACTTACTTCTCTTTGCGCACATTTTTGTGTGAAGTAACAACAAAAAATGTGCTTAGAAGAAGAGATACATGTCAAACAAAACAAAAAAGTGTGTACTTTCTTTTTTATTTTTTTTTGTCCCTTTTCTAGTAAGTTTTATTAACCTAATATATTTGCACGCTATAGCTAAGCTTATTATCTACTCGAATATAATACGTTTTTTAATTAACAAAATCTTTTTTTGTTGGTTTTTTTATAATCAACCAACCACCAAGGTAGATTATCTATGATTTGATTTTGTCAATATGACCATGAGAGTCCTTCTAATGGTCTCTTTCCTCTAGACAATGAAATATACTTTTTTGTCAAATATTTGGCTGTGCACCTATCCAATATATATGAAAAGCATAAATAGTTGTACATACAAGAAACTTTTGCGTGGTTTCATTGCGTTAAGTATCAATTATCACACACTGTCCAATTTTTACCCAATTTCAGGTATAAGATGAGAATAATAAAATTCAGCGTAATTTTTTTCTCAAAATTCGTTTTGAACATACAAACTGTAAATACCTAGGTGTCACTTTATAATCTACAGAAAAGTAAACTAACATAATAATCGCAGATCCATATGTCGATCAAAAGGCTTAATAAATGAAAAAGCAGATATTTTTTACTTCGAAAGTTATCTATAGTTAACTCTGTACCTTTTATTTTTTATACTTTCCCAAAAGAGATGGCGGATAAATGTTTTTTGAATTACTTTTGTAAGAAACGTAATAAAGACGCGGTTTTCATTAGTTTGTATCCATGACATGAATCCATAAACTGACGGAAAAATCGAGTCTGAAGTGTCACTTGAAGGTGGTAGATCTCATTAGTCTGACGAAGTTACCTCCGCCATGTTTTCCGATACAAAGTTAAATCGTCTTCAATTTGTGTTTCCAGCCCGAGGTGTGTCGTCTACCCTAAATCTAAGGCATCCATCGAATATGATTTGGGTAAGAACTCAGTTTTTCTATTAGCAATGGACCGCAGCTTTTTAATAAACTGTGACAATTCCAGTTGGCAATACAAGATTACAAGATCAACCTCATGTCC